TTCAAGTGGAAATTTCCCATCTCTGGAGATCTGGATGTGGTTCAGGCTTCTGCCTATAGTCTTATGTATTGCAAAGGCTCCACAGGAAGCCTCCTTCACTGGGCATGTTGTAGTCCCATTTTAGGTATTCCAATCAGTTATAGGCAGAATATGGACTTACAAGCTTTCTATGGGGATGTTTCTGACTATTCCTTTCTCTCCCCTTCCAGTGTTGAGATGTTATTTTTGAATATGTTATTGTTCCTTAGAATTAAGAATACCATATTGTAACAAGAAAAATCTATGTTTTTCCTTGATCACCAAATTCAACATGTAACTACTGAAGTTTCTGAATGTTTTTTTCATAAATGTTTTTACATGAAATGGTATTAACAGAGCCAGTTAATATTTTGGGTTGGTAATAGTAGTTTTCTTAGTTCTTATTATTGGCTCTTTTTATATCTCAAGAACTATGTGAAACTTGTATGTTTCCTTACTTGAGTGGTAAGTTTCAATAGACTAACCAAGTAATAGTAAATTGTATTTTAAAGCTCTTTCATGCAGTGCAGAGACTACAAAGAGTACAAAACCAGCTGAAAAGTATGCGCCACGCAGCAGCAGATGCAAAACCTGAAAGTAAGTGGACATTATTAAATGATACAGGTGATTGAAAAATGAGTTTCCTCTGATTGTGTTACGTAAATTTGTATTGTGTGGATCCCTGAGAGCAGTTAAGTATCAGGAGTTAATTACAGTCCCGTGCTGCCAGCCTTTTGGAGCACAGCCCCCTAGCCGGTGAATGTGTCCTGATGAAGATATAGATAGGTTTTCACCTGGGATTTTTAATTTCTTATTTAGCTTTGTAACCAGAGGGTGAAAATAATAATAACCACAGTAGAAGTAGGCTCTAAAGGAGTCAGATGCTTGTACCCTTAACACTGAGTGTTTTCCTTGTTTGGGTTTGTGGAATAATGATGTGGACATCCCTGGCTCCGTTCTCAACATCAGTGTTACTCAGGGGATAAACTTTGAGAATGTCCTGGAGTTTACCAAGAACCCCTTCCTAGGTATTTAGACGGGTGTCTGATGATCAGAAGGAAAAGCATGCAAATGGGAAGAGTACTACAAAACTTCTCTTGGATTGAAAAATATTCCAATATAAATGTCCCACTGAGCTTTAGTTCATCTTTCTGTAGCATTCTGTGGAATATTAAACTATAAGATGTAATACATAGAATGATATCATAGGAAAGACAGACCGTTAAAAGTGTTGGCAGAAATGCTAGAGAAACTGGTTCGCCTGTATGTTGCTGGTGGGAATGTACAATGGTACAGCTGTTAGGAAAATGTCCAGCAGTTCCTCAGAATGTTAAACGTTTGTTCCAACAATTCCATCCCTAGGTGCATATATACCCGAGAGAAATGAAAACATAGGACCATTCAAAAACTTATACATGTATCTTTAAAGTGGTATTCTTCCTAATAGCCAAAAAGTGGAAAACAACCTAAATGTCCTTGAACTGAGAGTAAACAAAATGCTGTATATTCACACAGTGTGCTATTTTTCAAACGTTCAAAAGGAATGAAGTTCTCATTCATGTTACAAAATGGGTGAACCTCAAAACCATTATTAAATAAGTGAAAAATCGGTCACAAAGGACGTCATGTTTTCTTATCCTATTTATTTGAATTATCCAGGATAGGCAAGACTGTAGAGACAGAATCACATGGGAAAGGAAGATGGCAGTAGGGGAAATGATAGTGACTGCTAATAGGTACAAGGTTTCTTTTGGGGATGATGAAATGTTCTGCAATTAGATTATGGTAATGGTTGCCCGTACAGTCACCGGGAATCAGCATCATCTCCACCACAACTAATAGCAGCAGTGGTTGCTAAACTGTGCATATTCATATAACTATGAATATGCTAAAAACCATTCACTGTACATGTAAATTAAAATTGCATGTAAATTATATCTCAATAAAGCTGTTAAAAGAATTAGTATTTCTTTGATTCTAGACATATTTTCCTCATTATATTTTTACAGTTGTGATAAGTCTTAAATTTTAAAGTACATTTGACATAGTATTTATAATTTAGTTACTTTGTAATTTAGTTTGCTAATGTGGCGCAGTTAAAGCTGAAGAAAATGAAAACAA